GCCAGTGAAGAGATAGCTAATGCAAGAATTTGCAAGATCAATTTCAAGAGACTATGGTACACAGGGACGGAGCCAGAAATCCGGTTGAAGGGGGGCGAAACAGTACAGACGGATTCAGAAAATTTTTCCAGAAAAGGCGAAACAATAAAACAAAAGAGATAATTTAAAAATAAATAAATAAACTACCTAAGAAATATAATTGTAAATATTGTTGGATATGGATGAAAAATAAAACACATCCAAACTTTATAAAAATATTCATAACAAAATATGAAACATAATTAATAAAATAATTTGAATAGAAAACACACTATAAATTACACATCTTATTATAGAGTGTGTGTAATATTAAAAAAAGCTATTAAAAAAGAATTGTAAAACTATGTTAATGCTAAAATTGGAACCCTTAACCTCATTATTTTACCAAAGATATACTCTACCACCTACTTTAACTCACTTCTTGTTAATATTTTATAGTTTTTTCATACTAATACTAAAACATGTACTATATATACATATATATACAAATACTATATATGGGTGGGGGTGGGGTGAGGGGGGGCAGCCGCCCCCCTACCCCCCTCTCCCTCCGTCCCTGATGGTACACAACAAGAAGTCCTACGCCGAGTCTGCAGTTGGTGATTGTGAACTAACTCTTATTCAAAAAATCTTTCCTCTACTTGGTTAAGTAGAAAGGGGTGAAGTAACAAGTGTTTACTGGTGAAAAACCTAGACACTTGAGGCCAACTTTTGAGTTCAAGGCTCATGTGGTCACTTTTGTACTATTATGATTAGTGCAATCCTTCTTGGAGTTATAAAGGAGAAAAGTGGACGTAAGTTGGGTTTTGGCCGAACCACTTCAAAAATCTCTCTCGCTTTCTTTTTTACTTATGGTACTTTACATTCTAGCATTAAACCAACCAAACCTAAATTTATAAAAGATCAAATATGTGCAAACAAACTAAAAAGAGGTAAATATATTTTTCCGTTGCGCAATCAAAATTGTTCCAATGCTCAACTTTACTTGAGCTAAAGAACTATTTGTAAAAAAATTTTCAAAATTGTATTCAAGTCTATTCACACCCCCCCCCCCCCCATCTCTAGACTTGAACACCTTACCCATCGGGGCCAACACAATATAGTTCTGCTTTCAAAATATGTGGCTAACTCATCACGTCTTTGATGTTTTGGTTGCTTCTAATTGGGCATGCTCGGCTGGTGAGGGTGGTATGAGAGTGTTTGCCTTTAAATTGAAGTGCCTCAAGCAGGCTTTGTGGGAGTGGAATTCGAATCTTTTTGGTAATGTTTTTGATCGAGTGCGTGCTGCAAAAACTGCTGTCACGGATGTGAAATTGTGTTTTGATGCAGATTTTTCTCCATCAAATGGGGAATATTTAGCACGTGAACAAGCAAATTTATTGCTGGCTATGCATCAAGAAGAGATATTTTGGAAAAAAAAAAGTATGGGTAAAGTGTCTTTGTGAGGGAGATGCTAATACCAGATTCTTCCACATTACTGTCAAGGATCGACATAGCAGGCAACAAGTCAATTGCATATGTGACGCGGTGGGGAATTTGATTTCTACTCAAAAAGATATTCAGTTTGAGGGCAGTATCAATTTTATTTTTTTTTTTGCCTTTTCAAGGATGAGCCTTGTTGGGGTGTTGATGAGTTCATCGCTAATGTTCCGGTTGTTATCACCATTGTGGATAACTTGGCTATGAGGTCAATTGTTTTGCTTACAGGAGTTAAAAGTGGCAACGTGGGTTCTTGATCCGGAATGTGCTAAGGGCCAGATGGATTCTCGAGATCTTGTTTAGGCATTGTTAGTGAAATTTGTAGAACGCAGCGCACAGTGATGTCAAAACTGAAGTTGTAACACAAACAATATGTAACGCAGTTCGTGCAAACGACCCTAATCTGCGAGGCACTTCTCAATTTGAGAATTTGCCTAAATCCATTAAAAGCTCAATATTTAAAGTACACTGTTTGGAACCTGATATTACACAATAGAATGATCTTTCCTACCAAACTATTGAAACCTAAACACATGTACTACTTTCTAGGGGAATTTAGTAACTCTTCTCAAAGACTCTCGGACCTCACAAGATTAATGTTGAATGCGTGATTTCTGCACTAAAGAACAACCCCTATTTATAGTAGCTACTCCTAACAGATTCGTGAATACCAAAGCTATTCTTAATCAAACTAGAACTAGAAAATCTTCAACAACAAATCCCCTTAGAACTAGTATTCTTCAATAACTATTCCTCTTAGGACTGGTATTCCTTTATAGAACTGGAATTCTTTTTACACATAACTTTGACAAAATACTTTGAGTTAACACCCTCCCCCTTTGTCAAATTTTTGACAAAAACCTTGATCTCAAAGTGGCTTGATTTCTTATTCTTCTCCCCCTTAATTGATACCATGTATCTCTTTCATCTAATGAGTGTTGTCTTGAATCTTTGTTTGTGACTTCAACACTGGAGATGTGACTTGGTGTTCTTAGACATCCTGAAACGGAACTTGAGAGATTGGGACCGGGTCCATGGCGATCTTTGAGGGGCCATCATCTTCAATGCGTAATGGATTTGAGAGAACTCCAGTGCTGGCGTACTGAGATGTGGTACTTCATTGAGGTATTTTTTATTTTTCCTGATGTAGTGTTTTCACCGTTGATGCTTTCTTGTGAAGGTATGTGAAGAGATGGTAGATAGAGTGATGGTCGTGGGTGGTTTTTGGGAGACGACGACCACGAAGTCCATGATATATTTTCTTTTTAGATTTCTGAATAATGAAACCTTGGGCCACGACATTGAGCCGGGTTTGGGCCTGTTCATGAATGACAATTGAAGATAGGGCCCAAGCTCCGCACTTCTTTCACATGTGACACATTCCAATTTCAATTCTCAATTTTTCATATTTGTTGCTGTCTAGAGCCTTATCAATGTTTTTGGGTTCAAACTTGGAGGTGTAGTAGTCTCCTTCCTTCATTTTGTAGTAATCTTGTTTCTTTCCTCTAGTCATTATTCTTTGATTGAGATCTCCTATGATATTTTCTAAAGGATGATTTTTCTGATTTTTTAAGACAGTAGAATGACTTTTATCCTTTTCTTTATCTGGTTCTGTTTCTGTTTTGTAATCCTGCATATTAGTAGTCAGATGTGTTGGAACAGTTGTTTCAACAACTCTTGGACTTTCGTCATCATCAGTGGTTATTGGTGGAGTTTCATCATTAATGATCACATTCATGAATTCTATTATACTGTCTACACTAAAGCCTTACTGTTTGATGAATAACCTAGGAATGTTCCTTGGTCCCCTTTGATATTGTGAAAATTTATGTGTCACATACGTTGGTGCCATAATTGTGTTTGGTTGATGGTTGTCTGTAAACAAGATAGGTCACCATCCCATGGGTAGCATTTGTTTGCGAACCTTTTTCTTATCATGACACACTCGTGATTCTGATTAAACACATTACAACTGTCTCTAGAGAACTCTACTTTGAGTTCATCTTCACAAAGCTGACCTATGCTGATTAGATTTGCTTTTAGGCTTTGTACTAAAAGGACTTTCGGCAACTTAGGCAGCCCATGGGCATTCAAGGTACCACTTGCAATAATTTGTCTTTTTCCACCGTCTCCAAAAGTGACCTGCCCTTCATTTTTGTATTGGATGTTCTCAAGATTTTCTAGATTTCCAGTCATATGCCTTGAGCATCCACTGTCAAAGTACCAAATATTTTGCTTGTTGCTAGTTCTTGTGGTATATGCAACAGCCTGTGTTTGACCTTTTCTTACCCATATTTTCTTATTCTGGTTTCGAGCCTGTCCAGCCCAACATCTGTTGTTATGTCAGTATTGGAAATCATGTTATCTTTTAAAACAATATGCTTTGATGTGCCCTAGTTTGTGACAGTAGTAGCATCTGATTCTTCTTCGATGTTGGAAGTGATGTTGTGACACCTCTGGAACTTCAGGTACGTAACTTTCTACAGAAATTGAGTTTGATGATTTTGGTCTTTCGACTAAATCCTTGATTTCTTGAATCAACTTGGCTTCTCTTTCTTGGGATATTGTCAGTTTTTTTTTGTGTTTCCTTCAGAACAAGTTTTTCTCTCTCCTTTTCATTCTTCAAGAACTTATTTTCTTGCATGAGATCTAAATTTACTTGGATGAGTTGTTCCCATTTCGAATGCAGCTGAGTGTATGATTCTAGTAGTTCCTGTATATCCTCTTCGTTTCTATTATCATTCTCATGACTTGCGATGAATGCTACAAAATTAGTATTGGTGTCTTCTTCACTGTTTGTGTCATCGCTTAGGGTTGATACATAGGTTCTGTTCTTTTTTTAAGTATGTTGGACACTCGGACTAGATGTGCCCTTGCACTCGTAGCACTGAACTCCTTCAGGTTTTGGACTCTCCCTTCCTTTTGAAGTAGATTGATTTTGTCCAGTTGGGAAGTTCTCTTGATTGATTGAAGCACTTTTGTTTCTAAATTTGTTGAATTTTTTGAGAACTCTATTGAAATTCTTTGTTAGGAGAGCAATTGATTGTTCCATGGTCTTGGTATCAATTCCTGGGCTCTCTTCTTGTTTTGATTGGAATGTTATTCGTTTGCCATTACTTTTCTTGTTCTGTAGCATCTCAAGCTCATAGGTTTGAAGATTTCCCATTAAATCACTAAGTTTGCAAGTGTTTAGATTTTTGTTTTCTTGAATGGTTGTAACTTTCATCAGGAATTTTTTAGGTAGAGGTCAAAGAACCTTTTTGATGAGCCTAGCTAGGCTCAGGAATAGGTTCGCCTATGTTAAACGCATCTCCAGCAATCCCTAAAACTCTTGCACACCGTGAGATATCTTCCTCTTCTTTCATTTTTAAATTCTCAAACTGTGTTTGTATCATTTGCAGCTTGGATTGCTTAACAGAAGTGTTTCCTTCGTGATGATCACATAGTATATCCCATGCAATCTTTGCTATACCAGTGGTGGCGATTAGTTTGAAAGTTTCTTCACTCACGGTTCCATAGATTGCATTCATGGCTTTTGAATTGTAATTTTATTCCCTTCGTTCTTCTTTGTTCCATTCTGTTTTAGGTTTTTGATTAACTTTATCATCAACGGGATTCTTCCATTCTTTCTCAACGGCTTCCCAGACTCCTTCTCCTTGTGCTAATATGTATATTTTCATCCTAGCTTTCCAGTAGGAGAAATTTGTACCAACTAGAGCAGGGGACCTGGTGTTTGACAGTCTTTCTCTGGGAAACTCCATTAGGATCCTACTAACAACTTAAGCTGTTTGGCTCTGGTATCAATTGAAATTTGTAGAATGCAGCACACAGTGATGTCGAAACTGAAGTTGTAACACAAACAATCTGTAACGCATTTCGGGCAAACAACCCTAATCTGCGAGGCACTTCTCAATTTGAGAATTTGCCTAAATCCACTAAAAGCTCAATATTTAAAGTACACTGTTTGGAACCTGAGATCCACAATAGAATGATCTTTCCTACCAAACTATTGAAACCTAAACACATGTACTACTTGGGGAATTTAATAACTCTTCTCAAAGACTCTCGGACCTCACAAGATTAATGTTGAATGCATGAGTTCTGCAATAAAGAACAACCCTTATTTATAGTAGCTACTCCTAACAGATTCGTGAATAACAAAACTATTCTTAATCAAACTAGAACTGGAAAATCTTCAACAACAAATCCCCTTAGAACTAGTATTCTTCAATAACTATTCCTCTTAGCACTGATATTCCTTTATAGAACTGGAATTCTTTTTACACATAACTTTGACAAAATACTTTGAGTTAACAGTTGGGCTACTATTGAGGACGATCTTCATATGGCAGTGTTGGATTTCTTTGCAGGCATTCCCATTCCACAGCCTATTGCTAGTGCCCAGATAATTCTGATTCCTAAGAAGCCGAACCTGGATAAGTTCGTGGATTTCCAGCCTATTTGCTTATGCACGTTGTGAGCAAAGTGTTCACCAGGATCATTACTACACATCTCAAACGTTTACCTCCAAAGTTTATCTCCCGTAAACAGGTGGGTTTCGTTAGTGGACGAAGTATTTAGGACAATGTGTTGTTAGCTTACGAATTAATTCGTTGCATCGATAAGAGGTGTTGGGCTCTAATGTGGCAATTAAATTTGATATGATGAAGGCTTTCGATCGGGTGGCCTGACCCTTTCTCCGTGCTATTCTGTCTCGATTTGGGTTTGCATCTTCCTTTGTATATTTGATTATGAATAATTTGGTCGTAACTAGCCTTTCTGTCCTTGTTAATGGTATACTACGTAACTTAATAGACAACGTTTTTTAAATAATCGCCTTATAATATATTGTGTTATACTACGTCACTTAATAGACGACAATTGTTTAAATAACTGTCGTATATAGTTGACATACACTACGGTTGTTTAACTGTCGTATATAGTTAACATACACGATGGTTCTCAAAATCGCCGTAGAAGTGTATATTTACAACGATAGTCACTTCGAAAACTGCCGTGTATGTGTTAAAAAAATCACCGGTGGTTATTTAAAGTGTATGACGTAAAAAAAATTAATTAAGGTTGACGGTAAATATGTTACCGGAAATATAATATTATAAGAGTAACGAATAGTTGTATTGCTTCTTGTCTCAGTATAGAAAGTACAGTGTGTCCCCTGCTCAGCTGAGGGAAGTTCTATTTATGCTAGGTCCTAACGGTAACAACATGAAGAGTCATCATTGGGGAGCTGAGCTAACGGCAAGAATATGAAGAGTCATGAATGAGGCGTTGAGGCTTTAACTCTCTCTCATCAAAGGTGGCATCAATGGTGGCTTCAAAGACAATAAAGGTGACACCTGTTGGAATTCCTAACCGTTGGAGTTCTGCCCGTTGGGTTCCCATGTGATGCTGAGTCAATGCCCATTTGTGATCCGGGTCGGGTGCCAGCCCTATTATCCTGTCACCAGTCCCCCCTACTCCTAAGGCAACGGATGTGTTTGAGTTGACTTGGGAGTAAAGCTGAATTTGCTTGATATCGTGGAGAATCCCGATTGATCCCGAGTATGTGATTTTATTTTCGAAATCACACATGAATTTTTTTTTTTATGCTGGCCGAGACGGGCTGCGGCTTAGGCTGGCCGAGGTGCGTGCCTCCGGCCGAGGCATCGCCTCAACCGAGCGTGGCCGAGGCATCGCCTCAACTGATCGTGGCCGAGGCGTCGCCTCGACCGATCGTGGCCGAGGCGTGCGCCTCGGCTGACCGTGGCCGAGGCGTCGCCTCGACCGACCGTGGCCGAGGCGTGCGCCTCGGCTGAGGTGGCCGAGGCGTGTGCTTTGGCTGATCGCGGCGAGGCGTAGCCTCGACCGATCGTGTTTTCTTTTTTTTTTTTTTTTTTTTTTTTTTTTGCTGAGACGGACTTCGGCGTTGGCCGAGGCGGGCGCCTCGGCCAACCCCTCGACTGATCGTGGCCGAGGCGTCGCCTCGACCAATCGTGGCCGAGGCGTGCGCCTCGGCTGACCGTGGCCGAGGCGTCGCCTTGACCGACCGTGGCCGAGGCGTCGCCTCGACCGATCGTGGGCCGAGGCGTCGCCTCGACCTATCGTGGCCGAGGCGTCGCCTCGACCGATCGTGGCCGAGGCGTCGCCTCGACCGATCGTGGCCGAGGCGTGGCCTCGACCGATCGTGGCCAAGGCGTGCGCTTCGGCTGATCGCGGCCGAGGCGTCGCCTCGACCGATCGTGGTCAAGGCGTGCGCTTCGGCTGATCGCGGCCTAGGCGTAGCCTCGTCCGATGGTTTTTTTTTTTTTTTTTTTTTTTTTTCTTTTTTTTTGGGGCCGTGGCGTGCGCCTCAGCCATGTGGCCGAGGCGTGACCTCGGCCATGTGGCCGAGGCGCGACCTCGGCCACTTGGCCGAGGCTTGTGCCTCGGCCTTGGCTGAGGCGCACCCTCAGCCAATTTTTTTTTTTTTTTTTTTTTTTTTTTTTTTTGAAACAACATGGGCGGACCGCAAGCACGAGATATTTTTCCAAAAGATTTCAGAATGCAAAGCGGGCGGACCGCGATTTCCAAACACCAGTTCCAAACGACTACTAGAATATTATGGAAAATACTTAATCAAATGTTCCTAGCTCCATACCCGATCGATCATCCTTACAGATGGTGTGAACTTATAGATCATTTCTGCCAATCTTTTTGCATGCTTTAACGTAACAACTGCGGGCCGCTCGCTGGTCTCCTCTGACGACCCCTATCCCGCTCAAAGTGGGGAACTTCATACACAAGTGTTCCACCGACACTATGGTCTTGAGGTTCTCCAGTGCCGGTCTCCCCAATATGATGTTGTGCGCGCAAGTGAGTTTTACCACGATGAATTCCAAGTCAAGTTTGCGAATGTTAGGGCTCGTGCCTATCTCCACTGGTAAGACCACTGACCCCTCCGTCTCCACTGAATCACCCGTAAATCCAGAGAGTGGGGTACGTACTTCTTTGAGCTGGTTCCTAAGTATCCCTAACTTGGTGAAGGCATCGTAATACATCACATTGACTGAGCTTCCCGTGTCGACTAAGATGCGGCGGATAATGACATCATTGACGTCCATCTCAATTACCAGGGCGTCACGATGGGGTAACGGGCCCTCTGGGAGGTCATCATCAGAGAAGGTGATGGCCTCCTGTCTCTGTTTCTTTTCTCTGGGAAGACTCGCCACTTCTCCCACGTATAGCTGCCGGCTCCACTTCTTTCTTTCCGCGGGCGTGTCGCCCCCTGCAGGTCCACCATAGATAAAGTGTATGGTGTGCTTCTTTTGTCCTCTGGGCGCCACCTCGGTTTCTTTCTCGCTATCACTCTGCTCAGATATTTGGTCATGGTCTCTTTTTTTTGACGTTTGAGGTGGACGGCTCGGTGTCATCCTCATTCCTCCAGACATTTTTTGGTGGATTGTGTTGCGGCTGTTGCTGCTGCTTGGATCGCTTGACGAAATGTCGGAAGTAGCCCTGCTGGATGAGGTCTTCTATTTGTCTCTTCAAAACGTGACACTCATCCGTATCGTGTCCGGCATGCCTATGAAACCTGCAGTACTTTGTTTGGTCTGCCTTTGGGGAGACCTTCATGCACTCCTCGGAGAATTCTACCATTCCCATCTCCTCAGCTTGCTTTAGAATGACACTGACGGGATGGGTAAGAGGACTCAAATTACGCAAGGGGACCAGGCGAGGCCGTTCGTGGTCTCGGCCTTTCCCTGCGGTCGGGTGGTTCGAGAGTGGTGCCTGGCTGGGCGGACCAGCTTTCCCAGGCTTCCCATCTTTCCTACCATCCTCTTCGTCCTTCTTCTTCCTGTCGACGTCCTCTGCTTCGGCATAGCGGCTAGCCGTCCTCATCAGATCTTCGTAAGAGCGGGGGTGGTGAGCGTTCAGCTGCTTGTGGAAATACCCTGATCTTAAGGCATGGATAAATATCGGGATCGCCGCCTTGGAGTCGAAGTCGTAGACATTATTGACTTCCTTTTTCCATTTGATCAGGAAGTCTTTGAGGCTCTCGCCTCTATCTTGCTTCACTACACAGAGGTGAGAGAAGGGTTTCTTGCGATGTATGCTACCGGAGAAGTATGTTAGGAAGCTCTTGGATAACTCCCCAAAGTTTTGGATCGACCCATCTGGGATGGTGTTAAACCAGTCTTGGGCCGCTCCATCCAGTGTGGACAAGAACGCTCGGCACATGATGGCGTCCCCTGCCCCGATCATTACCATAGCAGCCTTGTACCTCGTCATGTGGACACGTGGGTCAGTGGCCCCCGTGTACTCCTTGATGGCGGGCAACCTAAAGTCCCTCGGCAAAGGTACGTCCATGATGCTAGGGGAGAATGGTGCTGCCATCCGTACCTCAGGTTCCGGCGACTGCTCCCGTGCCTCCACCCTTCTTGCTAACTCCTCGATTCTTCTCTGCAGCCTCTCGACCAGGGCCGACTCGTCAGGGTGCCGACGCGGGGCCGGCTGCCGCTCCTCCATGTGTCGGCGTGGAGCTAGTTCATCGACGTGTTGTCTATCTGAGTGTCGACGCGGAGCGGGTTCCTCGACGTTCCGTCCATCCAAGTGTCGGTGTGGGACCCGCTCATCAGCGCGTCGCTTCTCCGCCGAGTGCCGACGCAGAGCCGACTCATCGACGCGTCGCTCCTCCAGGTGTCGACGTAGGGCCGACTCATCAACGTGTCGGCGTGGGATCGGCTCCCGAGACTTGCCCACCTCCTCTGTGGGTGATCTCTCGGCTTGTCTGTTCTCGTGTTGGCGAGGGCCTCTGGTAGAGGACCCCTCGGCCCGTGATCCTAATCTTTGCCGCACGGGCGCCCTCTGTCCCAATTGTTCTGGCGCAGATTGGGAAGGGCCTGGTTGTCGTCTGGCCGGTCCACTTCTTTGGGCCTCTACCCCTATTTGCTGGGGCCGCGGCGTGGGCACTTGGCCTTGCAGTCCCACCGCCACCTGATTTAGCGCCGCCGTCACTGCTTGCTGAATGATATCGGCGGTCGCCTGGAGGTTCACGGCTTGGTTCACCCCCCCATTGTTGAGTTGGTCTCGAAGGTCCCCGGGCCTCCTGTTCACGGCTTGGTTTACCCCTCCATTGTTGAGTTGGTCTCGAAGGTCCCCGGGCCTCCCGTTGTTGAGCTGTTCTCGGAGGTCCCCTCCGCGATTGTTGGTGAGTTGGTCCCGGAGGTCACCTGAGGCATTGCCATTGTTCACGTTGCGAGAACCGTGGGAGCTGCGGGATGCCATTCTTTCAGGCTTGCTGTTGAAAGAGAAAAAGAGTAGTGTTGTAGCCTGCTTGAGTATTTGACTCAGGCTCTCAATGAAAGCACCAATGACAGTAAATATGTTACCGGAAATATAATATTATAAGAGTAACGAATAGTTGTATTGCTTCTTGTCTCAGTATAGAAAGTACAGTGTGTCCCCTGCTCAGCTGAGGGAAGTTCTATTTATGCTAGGTCCTAACGGTAACAACATGAAGAGTCATCATTGGGGAGCTGAGCTAACGGCAAGAATATGAAGAGTCATGAATGAGGCGTTGAGGCTTTAACTCTCTCTCATCAAAGGTGGCATCAATGGTGGCTTCAAAGACAATAAAGGTGACACCTGTTGGAATTCCTAACCGTTGGAGTTCTGCCCGTTGGGTTCCCATGTGATGCTGAGTCAATGCCCATTTGTGATCCGGGTCGGGTGCCAGCCCTATTATCCTGCCGGACACAATCCAAAAAATGCGTGCCAGCCCTAATATACGACGGTTATTTAAAAAACCATCGTCTATTAAGTGAAGTAGTATAACAAAATATATTAGACGACGGTTATTTAAAAACCGTCGTCTATTAAGTGACGTAGTATAACAAAATATATTAAACGGCGGTTATTTAAAAAAACCTCCGTCTATTAAGTGACGTAGTATACCATTTATGTAGTAGTGATTAGGGACGAAATTTGCAATTTTAGTATAACCCAGGAATGAAAAGTGCAACGCCAATGATAACTTAGGGACGAAAAGTGAGCATGACCAACACTCAGGGACAAATTCTACAATTACTCTATAACTCAGGAACGAAATGTGAGCATGATCAACACTCAAGGACGAATTCTACAATTACCTTATAACTTAGGGACGAAAAGTACAATTTTTTCTATATTATATTAAGAAATTCAAACTCAATACAATAACAAAAGTTTAGCATTGTAAAGTGATATATCGTTAAAACAATGCTATTACCTATCAGCTATCTGCTAATATAATTAGCTTTTTGCTAATAGTCAAGCACTCTCAAAATCTTATGTAGAATTTTTTTGTTAATACACGCCGATTATGGAAGTGTATTAGATCATGTCAAAGTTCTTATAAATTAAATGGATATATGTGGCATATATTATTTTTTGAAAAATAATTTAAAAACTGGGTGAAATTAAAGAAGTTAGAGCTCACCAACTATCTTGTAGTGTGATGCATCTCAATTACCATTTCAAATGGAAGGTCATATATTCAAATTAGGATGGTGGGGTTTTAAATTTTTTGAATTGAAAATGTTTGAGAAAATATGAAACATATATTATCTTTAAAGAATGATGAGTATTTCGGGGATAAAAAAAGGGAATAATAATAATAATAATAATAATAATAATAATAATAATAATAATAATAATAATTTGAGCGCAATTGCAAGCTAACAGCATAAATTTGAAATAATTCAATAAATTTTTGGGGCCAATATTGTAATTATAAAAACATGTAAGGGTGAGTATTAATAAACAAAGCTCTAAAATGACCTGTAAACAGCCCATTTTCATTCATCTCCTCCCTCAGCCATATCTCCTCTTTCAATTCCTTTGAAGCCATAGCAGAAAACGGTGAGAATTGATGGCGAAGTTCAGCGGCGGCTGCGAAACCTGTGGCGTCAATGGCTTTAGCTAGGAACTTCATTCCCGAGCTCTTGTAGATAGCCAAAAAAAAAAAAAAAAATGAATTTTGCAGAAGTAGAGGAACCATTTTTGGCCAGGTTTGTTGTTCTTTTTATTTATTCTTTAATGAGTTCCTTGTTGGATATCGTTATTTTTCTCGTGAAAGGAGGTCCCTTACAAAAGTTTTGTTTAATTTAATCATTATATTTTACATGAACAGATACTATAATATAATAGGGCTAATAACATTAAAAAAAAAAATCATTATATTTTACTTTTGTTCAATTTAATTTTTATATTTTAAAATTTAATACAAGATAATAATTAACGATTTTAATATGACTATTAACTTTTTTTACGCGACATCAATGATGTCACTATCTAACAACTTAGTCAATGATGTGGTATGTCAACTGTCAACTCATTATTTTCTTTTCCCAAATACTGCCCACTAAACCATTAAGCTAAGTCTGTGCGGGTCAACTCATTATTTTGTTACTATTGTTAGGCAAACTTTCTTATAAGATCATTTCATCATAAGTAATCACTCAACTTCTAATATTACATTTTGATTTAAAATTATTACTATTTTCATCAAAAGTATTACATTTTTTTCTCATAAGTATTACTCTCTCTCATAAGTAATAATTAAATAATTTATCTATAATTAATATTGCATTTTTTCTCATAATTAACAGTTTAACCCGTAGATATTATAAAAGTGTTACATTTTTTCTTAAAAATATTACACCTTTTTTATAAATCACAAATAATTTATTCTTGATTAGTATTACATTTTTTCAGTATAAGTATTACATTTTCATTGTAACCCGACCTGTCTCATAAATAAGGATATGTGAGACGGTTCCACATGAGAGTCACCCATTTTGTTAATATTTAATAATAATTATTTATATCACCAACTTATTATATAGATCTATCTAAAATTTAAAAATTTATAACATATTTAATTCATCACGAAATATGTTAGGAACGAAATAGCATTCCAAGAGAATAGCCATGTACCACCTTGTCATGTACAAAGGTGAAATTTGTCACAAGAAATCAAGGATCAAGTTTTACAAGCGGCAAAAATTAGTCTTGGAGTTAAATAAAAAAAAAAAAAAAAAAAAAAAAAAGACTAAACCCTTCACTTGTCAGACACCAAACATACCATAGTGATACAAATTGAGTTAACCAAAAAAAAAAAAAAAAAAAAGTCAGAGATTGAACCTAATTTGTGGTATTTATATATAGACATGGGGACATCTAAAAGTTAGAGTACAAAATGACTTTAGTAGGCACCGATAATCGTAGTATACGTGAGATGGAAAGTAGGTTGAGTAAGATGGAATCTTACTCGGGATATCGTTCTCTAAGAATGATGAATGTGAATTGAACAATGAGTGGCTACATACAAATTTTTGTAAAAGCCGTAAAAAGTTAAGTCTCTAGACTTTAAGAGAGAGCATTATCGAAGCAAAAAAGAAAAAATAAAGTAACGGGCAAATGTAGAGAAGCAAGTATGTAGCAAACACGAATGTAATCAAGTGAATGGAGGAGACTAGGACTAGGTGCAATGTTCCTTGATTGGATGCAATAGAATTATCCTACGTATAGAATGTAGTGTAATGCATTGATCGTGATTCTTGGAAGATAATGATTCCATTGCCAGAGCCACTCTCGTGGTCTATTTGGCCTATGAAGTAGTAAAATCCTACTCTCATAACAACCTTACTACTTCAGACATTTCATCGAACACTTTATTTTTAATTAATTCAATTTGATATTAAATTTTCTATAATAAGTATTACAATTTATTTCATAAGTAACATTTCACATATAAGTATTACAATATTTACATTAGAATTACATTTTGTAAGTATCACAATGAAAGTTATAAGTATTCCAATGTTTATCATTAGTAACAATCATTTTTACTCTAAATAGTATCACAATTTCATATATAAATATTACTCTCTCTTATCTCATTTTATCTGTCATGTATGATATTTATTGATCAAGCTAGATCTTTCTTCTTTGCTTATTTTCTTTAGTATTTTTAATTATTTTTAAATTTAATTTTTTTTTTTTGTGTTTTATAGTTCCTTTAATGTAGTTTCTAAATATATAAATTTTATATACGTACTAATACTAAACATAACATTATAAAAAATAAAATTAAAAATAAATTCAGTCATGTCTCGTTAATCGAACTAATCATATAAAATGGGACAAAAAGAATACAATATCTATTATAAATAATAATTTATTTATTTAAAATTGATATTAAATTTTCTGTAATAAATATTATGATTTATATCATAAATAACTAACAACTATTTTATATTCAATCTGTTTCATAGATTAAGATCCATGAGATAATGTTACACAAGTATGACCCATAACTTTATTTTAAATATATAGAGAGTTGAGTCCAAATGAGAACTAGAGAACTAGAGAACCAACATGTGGAGACGACAAGGGTCAACATCAAGTGGTCCAGTATCTAAAGACTTAGAGCAACCTCATTAGTGTGATTTTTCATCAAGTTTTTAAGTCGGTATATCGTGGACCGCGGTGCATAATTGATTATGCACTGCGCATCAAAACAGCGTCGTTTCTTTAAGTAAAGAAACGGCGCGTTGTTAGTGTTAACGGAGTGACACTACAGTGTATCTAAACCGATACTGCCTCACGTATTATTTTTATATTATCAAATGAAACTGCAGTTATATCAAAATGATACTGTAGTTGTGGTGAAATGAAACTGCAGTATATATAAAATGAAACTGAATAACATTTCACATATTTGAGTGTATATTGTACAATGAAGCTGTAATTATATCGAAATGATCATGTAGTTGTGTTTTAATGAAACTATAGTGTATATAAAATAAAATTAAATAACATTTTCACATATTTGAGTGTATAAATATTGAATGAAACTGTGTTATATCGAAATGAATGTAGTTGTGTTGAACTGAAACTGCAGTGTATACAAATTGAAACTGAAGAACAGAGTTATTTTTTGCGGAACGGTGAGAAACGCGTTAAACGGATTCCGTTTCTTTTCATTAAATAAAACGACGTCGTTTTGATGCACGGTACATAATCGATTATGCACCGCGGTGCACGATATAATTTGCCCAAGTTTTTTTTTGTGGGCCCCAACATCAACCCATCATCCAGTATCTCACTCAATCTCAAAAACTATTCTTTCTATTAGTTTTAGATTTTTGTTAATCTTTTGTGAATCAACTATTTAACCAATTTTACTCCATGCCACTATATTTTAATTCGTTTTTTTAATTTATTATCAATATAAAAATTATAATTATAATTATAAATTTGGTAACAGTATTATTAATAATTATAAATTTAATAATAATATTATTGATAATTATAAAATTATAATTTAATTGATAATTATGAATTTAATTACAATATTAAATTAAAAATTAAATAAATTAATTAACTGACGGCATAAATTTTTTTAAAAATTATGAATTATGTTATAAAAATTAAATTAATATTTTTTTAAACAAATAAACGTTGCAAAAACTTGAGCAAAAATCACTAATGTCATAATGTGATTGCTCGTAGCGAAATTGTAGTCAGATTCTGTAGAAAAGGGTGACTGGCGTTGATAATCTTTATCCGGGGCTCATTTGTCCACTGTCAAGTGGCCTAGGAAAGTTCATAGTCAGCATGGACCACGTGGTCTACGTCATTAACTTCGTTTGGCCCAGTTGCAGGAAAAATTGTTACGTAGATAGCCATCATTATTGTGTGGATCATATTTTGTCTACGGTAAAATAATGTATATTCAGTACAAAAATAATGTATATTCAATACAAAAATAATGTATATTATATTCAGAAAAATTTACATTATTTTTGTTCTGAATGTATATTATATTGTATAATGCACATTTAATACAAAAATAATGTACATTTAGTATATTAAAAATGTACTTTTTGTTATAATTCACATAACATTGTGTGAACCATGGTCCACACAATAATTTGCCCGTAGATCGTGGTATGTGGACTATAGTTCAAAACAACATCTTTTTTATATTATTTTTTTTTTGTTTAATGCGCGTGTTATAATAATGAATGTTTTAGGGTAAAATAATGTATTTTATGAATTATAATAATGTACTTTATGTATTTGAATAATGTATAATATAATTTATGTGTTAGAATAATTAAATTTTTAAAGTAAGATAATATATTTTTTGAATTAGAATAATGTACTTTAAATATTTTTGAATCGTGATTTACACAGTTGTGTGGACGGATCCAACAATAATGATTGAAGTTGCAGCCCCTGGTCAAGATTCATTAATTCATTTAGTCACTTCCACTAATCCAGTTCGCCTTTCCACTAGTCTTTTTTTTTTTGAATGCTACTAGCTCTATTACTCCCACTAGTCTTAATAAAAGTTAATATCCTCATTTGTCCATTAGCATTCCATTACAATTTACAATACATACCACGGATTTAAACGAATTGAGTTGAGCTTGAACTCGAGCTCCATTACTAATGGATGGGTTCAAGTTTGAGCTCAAAAATTATAGCTCAAGCTCGGCTAGTTTATTTTCGAACAGTTCGAGCTCGGCTCATTAGGCTCAAGTGTTTGAACTTCAGCTCGAGCTCGAGCTGAAGTTCGACTCATGATGGCTCGTATTTTTGAGTTCGAGCTCGAGTTCAAGAAAGATTGCTTGTAATTTTATACCCAAGTTTGACCTATTTAATTTCATGTTTCAATTAATAATAAAAATTGTTGAACTCATATATAAATAATAAAAAAAATTACTTTAAAAATAAAAAAAATTAAATATTCAATAGTCCAAACTTCAAAGTTCAAAGCACTCAAAATAAAGTTAACAACTTCACATCAACTAATGAGTCATTTTGTAATGTTTAGTTGATGGTCAAAAAACTATATATTTTTTTATTTGGTTAAAAGTTAAAGAATATGTTATCTGTTATATGACAACAATAACAACAACGGTAATAATAATAATAACAATAACAATAATAATAATAATAATAATAATAATAATAATAATAATAATAATAATAATAATAATAATAATAAGTGATGGTGTATTGGCGGTGGTGTTGGTGGTGGTAGTGTTGACAATAGTGGTCGTGGTGGTGGGGGCAGCGATACTGGTAGTGGTGATGGTAGTATGGTGGTGGTAATAATAATAATCAGAAAAATAACATGAAAAAAAATAGAGAGAAGATAAATATGAAAGAATAAAGAATCAAGAAAATGTCTTAGGACTAAAAATTTGGAAGACATTTTTCCGCCAAATTAGGTCTTTTTTCCTTGAATAGAATGAAGATTTTTCTTTAACTTTATATTTTCCTTTAAAACTAAAACATGGAAAAATCCAGAATTTATTTTCCCAGTTTCCAATTTATAATTCTTAATTTTAACTTTATAATTCCCATATAAAAATTCTTGAATGTTTATTTATTTTCAACAAATTATCCTATGACATTTCTTATAAAATTGACTCCTTGCACTTGTATAGTGTTTGAGAAGTTTTACTTGGATACTGCAACGCCGCAACAAAACGATGTGCCTCAAGCTTGTAATGTTGGTAGCCATCTCTACTGCTCAACTCTGCTACGGAACATCTGGAGACCTTGACTTCACATTCAACGGATTTAGCTCAGCCAATCTCACCCTCGACGGAATAGCTCAGATCACTTCCGATGGCTTACTGAGACTAACAAATGAAACCAATCATCAGATAGGCCGTGCCTTCTACCCCATGCCTATCAATTTCAAGAACTCACCTAACGCCTCTGCTTTCTCCTTCTCCACCACCTTTGTCTGTGCTATCGTGCCCCAGATTCAGAGTTTGTACTATGGCCTTACCTTTGCCATTACACCACCAGGAGGCCTTCCTGGAGCATTTCCAGACCCATATTTTGGCCTTTTCAATGAAGCAAACTATTATGGCAATGCTTCCAATCATGTAGTGGCAGTGGAGCTCGATACCCTCCAGAATCGTCAATTTTATGATATCGATAACAACCATGTAGGAATTGATATCAACGGCTTGAGATCAGCTTTAGCAAAACCAGCAGGGTACTATCAGGGCAACCAATTTCATAACTTCAGTCTCGGCAGTGGGGAACCAATACAAGTTTGGGTAGAATATGATGGCAGAGCTAAGCAAATGAATGTCACTGTGGCTCCTCTCAGTGTGGGTAAACCAAGTAAGCCTCTTTTGTCTTTTCGCCGTGATATTTCTGTGGACGTACTAGAAACCGTGTCGGTTGGCTTCACATCGGCCACTGGTTCAGCTGTATCAACCCAATATGTTCTAGGATGGAGCTTTAAAATGAATGGCATTGCTCAAGAACTGGATCCCTCTAAACTTCCAAAGCTTCCACGAGTGGGGCCTAAGAAAAAATCAAGATTTCTGGTGATTGGGGTGCCTGTGATTGCAATATTTTGTCTGGTTGTTATTGTGTGTGGAGTGGGTTATTATGTATTAAGGAAGAGGAAGTTTGCGGAGTTGCTTGAGGACTGGGAACTCGAGTATGGGCCGCACAGGTTCAATTACAAAGAATTGTACTTTGCCACCAAGGGGTTTTCAGACAAACAAATATTGGGGGCAGGGGGGTTCGGCAAAGTTTATAGAGGAGTGTTACCCAACTCAAAAACTGAGATTGCTGTGAAGAAAATTTACCACCAATCTACACATGGAATGAGATCCTTTATTGCTGAAGTTGTTAGTTTGGGGCGGTTGTGTCATAGGAATTTAGTTCCTCTTCTTGGCTATTGCAGACGTAAAAGAGAGTTGCTTTTGGTTTACGAGTACATGCCAAATGGAAGTCTTGATAAGTATTTGTTTGACAATCCAATACGCACTCTTGGTTGGAACCAAAGATTTCAAGTCATCAAAGGAGTGGCATCAGCTCTATTCTATCTCCATGAAGAGTGGGAGAAGGTGGTGGTTCACAGAGATATAAAGCCTAATAACGTCTTACTAGATAGTGATTGGAATGCAAGGCTTGGAGATTTTGGTCTCGCTAGATTGTATGATCATGGATCCGATCCTCAAACTACACATCTAGCAGGAACACATGGCTACCTTGCCCCAGAATATATTAGAACATGCAAGGCCACAACCTCCTCTGATATGTTTGCTTTTGGAGTATTCTTACTTGAAGTTGTATGTGGCAGAAGGGCTATAGAACATAAAGCGCCCTATGAGGTTCTTATTTTGGTAGAGTGGGTGTTTTTGTTGTGGAACAGAGGCGAAATATTGCAGATTATTGATCCTAAACTTGGTGAAGATTATATTGTTGAAGAGGTAAACATTGTCTTAAAACTTGGATTGTTGTGTTGTTTAGTAGATACCGAATTTAGACCTAACATTCAACAAATTGTTCGATACTTGGAAGGCTCTGTAGCTTTGCCAGAGCTATCATTGCTCACTCTCTCCACTGCCGGCTTGACTATTTCTCGAAGTGAAGGCTTTGATGATTTTGTTGCATCACTTTCATATTCTAAAGGGAATATAGACTCTCATTGTTCTTCAATCACAAACTCCGTCACTTATGATGGCCGTTGATTACAAGGATAGATGAGGGAGTTTAATACTTACATTGAAATAATTGTGTATTAACTATGGTCATTAAAATATTTTATTTATAGTATATTTGATTCTCTAATTATAGTACTTTATTTAGTGGGTATAGTCTCATGTTTTATTTGATGTAATACTATCTTTGTTTGTATATATAAAGGAATAATATATAGTTTGTTTTCAATAATATATCATTATATATATTTACTTGGACAATCCCATTAAACATAAAGGAAAGATTTATGACGTGAGTGGTATAGTTCATGGTACGGTTGATTGATATTGGATGATTAAGTGAGAGCAGTCATAGACAAGCTAAGAGCATCCATAATACAAGCTAAGAGCATCTATAATAGTGAAGTTTTTTTGTGGTTTTTGAAGAATTTTTGTAACTGTGATTAAGAAATAGAATATGTGAGGAAAGAGAAAAAAGAAGAAAAAAATAAAAATAAAAACTGTTTTTTTTTTTTATTATAAAAAGGTAACTGTTAGAGTGCCTGACGCGCACGTGGCTCGAAGTGATTAGAGGACTTCTTCAGTGGGTCCCACATTTTGACAAAAAAAAAAAAAAAAAAAAATCTCCCTTGTTGAACAACCCCATTTTTCTCTTGCTTACATTCTCTCTCCAACATGTCATCATGTACTGTTCCAAAAATTACAAAATATCCATTGATATGGATGTCCTAAGGCTATTGAACCACAAACAAATTTTACCTGAAACTAATGAGCTAGCTTGATAAGATATAAAATTTTAAGGGTTACGCAAAAAAAAAAAAAAAAAAAAAAAAAAAAAAAAAAAAAAACTGATAAGCCCATAACCAATAAGCTTGGAGGTCCAAATAGACTATTCCTAAATTTAGGGTGCGTTTGGAAACCTTGGCTAGAGGGAGAAAATGAAAGTCAATGGAAAAAAGGGGTGTGATCAATGGAAAAAATAAGGGGATTTTTCGAAAAACTACTTCCTTTTTTTTTGGGGGAGTTATTTTCTGTTTGCAGCAGTGGAGTAGCCAATCACCCGCCGCTGCCGCCACCACCATTGTATATTTTAAATATTTTAAAATTAAAAATAATTATACTCATTTTCCAGAAAATGAACCAAACACACCAATACAATTTTCTGGAATGCAACCAAACACTGAAAAAGAAAATATTTTCTAAAAAATAACTCATTTTCAAGAAAACATTTTCCATAACTCATTTTCCTACTTTTCAAACACACGCTTAGTGAAATAGCATGATTGTCCTAGTTGCTCAAAGATACCAATCTTTATGCTGTGCAACCGTGTGCACCATGCATGGTGCACACGGTTGCAAAAACGACGTCGTTTTGACTAAAAACGCGCGTCCGACTTAAAAAAAAAAATCAGTTTCGATTCCCGTCAACAGCATTATGTTGTGCATAATTTGAACTATATAGTTCATTCATTCTGGATTTTTAGTTCATTCATTCTGGATTTTTAGACGAAAATTGAAACTGATTTTTTTTTTCCATTCATGTTGGATATTTAGTTCACTCATTCTGTATTTAGTTCATTCATTCTAGATATATAGTTCAAATTATGCAAAACATAATGCTGTTGCCGGAAATCGAAACTGATTTTTTTTAAAGTCGGACGCGCGTTTTTAGTCAAAACGACGTCATTTTTTGCAACAGTGTGCACCATGCATGGTGCATACGGTTGCACAGCATAATTTGCCACTAAAGCTACTCCAGGTACGCACTCCACGTCTGCCACTACCAAAGTTTGATTTAATAATTATAACATTACCTCTTTTAAACAAGTCAGAAATATTAACCATTCCAATTTCAAAATATCATCAGCATATTTCTTTTATAAAGATTCCACCAGCCATCTGAACGACTTCAAGACTAAGAAAGTAGCATATAAGGCCCATATCCGTATTTTCAAATCTCTTAATGAGTGCCTTCCTAAATTCTTAGATTAGTTTCAAGTAAAAATCAAATCATCAACATAGAGACAGATTATAAAAATATCTCCAGAATCTATGAATTTGACATATAGAGTATGCTCTTGACGACATCTCATAAAACCACTTTCAACCAGTGTTGTAAAATTCGGCCTAAGCAGCGCCTAGGCGCTTGACGCCCCTAGGCTGTGCCGTTTTCACATGTAGACGCCACCTAGTCGGCTGAAGCGTAGTATATTTGCAAACAAATAATTCTCGGAGTACGAGTTATCGATCCACAGGGAAGTGGTTGTATCAAGCACTAGTTACTAACTTATTCATTAGAGCTAATCCTAACAATTACTTAGATGATTGATTGGCATAAAATAAATAAAATAGAACAGAGGTTCAGGATTTTGAAAACAATTAGAGAGAAGTTGAGATTCATGGGATTCAAGTATTTAATCACCTAGTGTCAATTATCGTTTGCAATATTTAGTTTGGAATTAAGATTTGTGTGGGAATGCAAAGTGGAATCGAATTACTCCCGTAATCTCTATTCCTAGTGAATTTCCACTCCCATGGCTTAAACACCCAATAAGATCAAAGATCAGCATTCAATTATTCCTAATTACTACCATCTCCCGATGAGCAATAATCTAGAATAAACTTCCCCTAATAAGTTCCCCTTTCCCAAGGACCAACCATTAGGTGCAATCGTGTGTGCCCTAACTTATGCCCCAACTCCCATTGGTGACACAAACATGGCTATGAAGCTAGTAACTATGGCCATTAATTACAAGCATCAAACAATATTATCACGATTGCAACACAAGCATTAAACCCAAATAATAATATATTAAAGAAACTGAGAGCTCAGACACATAGGTTTATAAACACTTTTACCCAAGAATCTCTAAAGAATTTAGCCAAGCATGACTAAATTATACATAGCAAATATAAATAAAGAATTACAAATCATCAAAAGAGTACAAGAATTAACCAGACGATTTTCCCAAATCTCCCTAGTCTTCTTCTTGCTTTCCAAGACAACTTGTGGCTCTAGATTTCTCTCCTTCTTGTCTCCAAGAATCTCTGAATTCTCCCTGTCTCTTCATTAGGGTTGAGGAAGGAGGGATTTTATAGTGGGTACAAAGTTGAGATGAAATAGGAATCTTGTACAAAATTGGACTCAAATTATAATTCCTATATTTAAATAAAGAAATTGCCGTATTTAATTGAAGTTGAAATTGGAATTCAAAATTGAAGTTGAATTGCTGAAGCCAACGCCCTTTTGTATTAAGCTAGCACAATTTCGTGCGTCGCTCGACGCGTCGAGCTATGGCTCGACGCGTCGAGACCTGATGGTCTCGACCGAAAAAACATTCTGGAAATTTTCGACGCGTCGAGTCCTCTGGGCCCCGAACTTGTCCAAAATTGCTCCAAACTCATCCTTGAACTTCCCTTGCTCATAGAATTGACCTACAATGGTTCAAAAACGCTAACAAACACCGTAAAACATTCAAAACAAGTGCAAACCATAATTAAATGATAATAGCAAGGAAAATATGTATTAAATATGCAAAATTAAAGAACTAAAATACTAAGATGATTCAAAATAACTATAATAACAAGCAAAGATGTGATAACATCACCCCCTCACACTTAAGCTTTTGCTTGTCCTCAAGCAAAACTAAGGAATAAAATCACAAGTCAAAACATACAAATTACTCATGCTCTCTCTTGCACAACCTTTCAAACCACCAACCAACTTGCTACAAAACAACAAGTTTCAAGAATCAAATTAGTTTGGCACATAAGAGACCCATTTCCAAGCCAATAACCAAGCACCAAGAATTTAAAGTATGTGAGGATCAAGTGTGGCCAAATACTCAGTTGAGATTATGCAAGACACGGCTCATGAATGAGATCCCAAAGGCTTGCCCTTCATACTCCCCTAGATCAAATCTAAGAATGCATGCTAAGATCAAATAGGACTTTATTAAGCTTGTAATGGGGCTACGGGTGATGGCTAACAAAGAAGTGGTATGGAAAAATTAATCAAAAAGAGAGAATTTCATAATTTATCTAAACTTTTCAAAATTTGGAAGAGATGAGATAATCATAATTCCAAGGAGCAAATTTCTTTTAAGAACTTAGCAACTCTTTGGTAAAGTGGGGATCCAAACTCAAAAACTTTCAATCTTTTTTTTTTTTTTTTTTTTTTTTCTCATTCTTTTCTTTGTCTTTGGACTTCTTTTGGATATAGCAAGATAATTTTAATCCAAACTTTCATGACCTCCACACTTGAACATTTGTAACACTAGCTGCTTTTTTTCGTAGCACAACTTCATAAAACTCTTCTTACGGAAAAGATAAAGATAAAAGTTTCATTCTCTCAAGGGTGGAATGGAAATATTTGGCCACGGGCTAAGGGTTATAATAATGGGGTAAATCAAAGAAAAACAATCACAAAGAGGGGATAAGTGCTTAGCACTTATTTGAACAAACAAAAGGCACAATGGGGATACGAAGGATAAAAATATATATAGGGGCAGGTTTAAAGGGTATGGCTAAACAAAAAAAAAAAGGCCTAAATCACTTCAAAACATGCAAAACTTAGACATCACTTAGGGAGTAATGAGGCAAGTTCTAGTAAAACACCCATGACCGGAATCTCACATAAGCCTTCACTAGCAATGCAAAACACAAGATCAAGAATTAATCCAATTATTAAGTGGTTAACAAAGCTATTGGCAAGGGAATAGATCAAATATGTGTTACACCTCAAATCATCCATCACAAATTGAGATGCAGCAAGCACCACTAAAACAAACCACAAACCAACAAGAGAGAATAATTGTAACTGCATGCTAAGACAAGTAACTTATTCACCAAAAATAGCATATGAGTCATCCAAGCAAAAGCAAAAATTTTAAAAATTTAGAAATATCCCCAGATTAATGATTCCTCCCCCTCACACTTAAAACTTTGCATCATCCCCCTGATGCAAAAATAAAAGAAAAGGAGAACAAGAGAAAAGAGAAAACCAAGAATCACGAACTAGAAAGCAATAAAACTTAATAAAACGAATCTAGAAAGCAATAAATATGAAATAAATAAAAGATAACATGGGGTGCCTCCCATGAAGCGCTAAATTTAACGTCGTTAGCTCGACGTTACCTCTCTAGCCATCAAGTGATTGGAGAAGAAAAATCCCCTTCTTCCCATCAACTTTCTCTTCCAAGTATTTCTTCAAGTGGTGTCCATTTATAAACTCTCTTAAGCTCGAACCCTTCACGTCATCATGTAAGGAACCACATTTTCCCGAATCAAGAATTATGCCTCCATTCTCTTTTCCTTCTTTTTCAACACTCTTTTGTTCAACAAGTAATGAGAGTCTCGGATCATTCACATGAACCAGCAAGTATTGGGAATCATTGGATATATAGATAGGCAAATGTGTGCCATTATCCTTAAGAACTCCAATGCCTCCCAAATTCAAAATTTCTCTGAAGTTCTCTCCAAGGGAAGTGTTCTCCATTGGTGAGACATCCTCATTCAAATCATGTGCTCCATTAAGAACTTCCTCATCTAATGGGCAACTCTCTATATGTTCCTTGCCATCATTACCTTGCAACTCTACATTTTCCTCCCAGCTTGGTGTCTCCATCTCAATGCATTTATCAAATATTTCTTCATCTTCCTTTCTAAGATCCTCATCATCCTTTTTATTTCTCTCAACTTCATGACCTTCATTTGGCAAGAGCAACTCTTCTAGAACCTCTCCATTAAATGAATCTTGAAGTGGCTCTTGAATTGTCAAATCTTGCTGTCGAGCCATCATGTGATCGAGTCGAGCATTCATGCGATCAAGTTGAGCATTCATGTGATCTTGTAACTCCAGATATTTCGAGCACAATTGCATTAACTTGGTCTCTTTGGACTTCATCTCAATTATTTGGTCAAGTGATTGACAATCTTGTTGAAACTCTTGGTACGGCAACTCTTGAGCTCGCCCTTGATACTTGTAATTGGGATCCATGATAAAGCAATTTTCCGCCTCATGAGATCCACCACATATCATGCACCGTAAGGGTTGTGGAGTAGGTGGTGTGCATCTTTGATAAGTAGCTTGACTCATGTTGGCACAAAATCCTTGAGTAGATTGTTGAGGGATATGGTTGGTGGGGTTGAGCATGTAACAATTTTCCACAAAGTGATTCCCACCACAAAATGAGCACCATTGGGGTTGTGATGTTTGATATGAACTTTCTTGATAATATCCTTGACTAGAGTTGGCAAAATTTGAGAAAGGGAATTGTTGTTCCATTCCTCCATATTCTCGATTCATATTCCAACTTATCTCATAACCTAGAGAAGGAGGGTAAAACGGTGGCATGGTTCCTTGGAATGCATATCTATCCATAAACTAAATCACACTCAAAACAATAAACTTGTTATGGGTTAGCAAAATAAAATAAAATAAAAAAATAAAAATGGACTAGTCTCCTAGAATAAAGATTTCACTAATGTTAATACTAGAAACACCACCTCCCCGGCAACGGTGTCAATTTGAAGCGTAGTATATTTGCAACAAATAATTCTCGGAGTACGAGTTATCGATCCACAGGGAAGTGGTTGTATCAAGCACTAGTTACTAACTTATCCATTAGAGCTAATCCTAACAATTACTTAGATGATTGATTGTCATAAAATAAATACAATAGAACAGAGGTTCAGGATTTTGAAAACAATTAGAGAGAAGTTGAGATTCATGGGATTCAAGTATTTAATCACCTAGTGCCAATTATCGTTTGCAATATTTAGTTTGGAATTAAGATTTGTGTGGGAATGCAAAGTGGAATCGAATTACTCCCGTAATCTCTATTCCTAGTGAATTTCCACTCCCATGGCTTAAACACCCAATAAGATCAAAGATCAGCATTCAATTATTCCTAATTACTACCATCTCCCGATGAGCAATAATCTAGAATAAACTTCCCCTAATAAGTTCCCCTTTCCCAAGGACCAACCATTAGGTGCAATCGTGTGTGCCCTAACTTATGCCCCAACTCCCATTGGTGACACAAACATGGCTATGAAGCTAGTAACTATGGCCATTAATTACAAGCATCAAACAATATTATCACGT